GGAATTAGAGCCGCTAGAATGTGATCCGATGCGTCGGCGGCAAACCACGGGTCCTGTCCTCCCCGCCTGCGCATTAACGAGGGTCCGGAGGGAAACGCAGTGTGCCGGCACGATCACACAGCAGGAGTCCGGAGGCACCTCGTGGCAAACCGTTTGCCACTACATCTGAGGTACTGTTTTTTTATTGCGCTTTTTCGGTGGTATGCCACGGGTTCACCACAGGTGCGCTCCACTTGTCAGATGTTGCGATGTGATCATGCCCCAATAATCCACCCACCACCCGTGGCTCTCCCGTGGCAAATTCGCCATGTGACCGGGACTTAAGATAATTTCTCTTAACAGTGCCCCAGTAGGCCAGTGGGGGGCTTTGTGACAGGGGTCCCTCCAGGGCAGCAGCCCACAAGGAATTTGCCCAGGACACTAAATGGCCAATTCACCCCTGGATCAAACTGAGTCTGTAGGTCAATTATTGAATATTTGAGCGTACATGTGGGAGAAAGCTCGGAACTCTGCCTCCTGTTTTCCCTGAGTATACAACTGAATGATTTTACAGGGTGACTAGGCTTGTGAGGAAGCTAAGAATGGCTTCTTAAGAAACATAAGCAGGATTTTGAGTAGACGTGCTTAAGATTTGCTCTCTTACTCCAGAAACTCTCTCCCAGTCAAAGTACCAGGTTTTTAAATTAACATTTTATTGAAATAAAAAACATAAACATACTCAAAACAGGTAAGTTAGCATTTAGGTGACAATTACAAATGTTTCAAGGCTCCTATACTTAAAAGAAATTTATAATAATTACAACAGTCAATATTGTAGAAAAAAAGAGTGAACAAACATTATCTTACCATAGATTTAAATCATTAACAGTAGTAGGTATTTCACCTTGCTCAATTAGGTATTCTAAAATAGGAAACCAAATCATTGTTAATTTTAGCGAAGATTTGTAAGTATTAGAATCTTTAACATTTTCAGTAACCTTTGACATTATATATACCTTCCAAAGTTTGGCATGCCAATATTGTCGTGCTGGACTTTTGGTATTCTTCCAAAGTAATGCAATGGCGTTTTTGGCTGCTGCCAACAAAACAGCTATTCTTATACATTCTTGTACTAGAAGATTGGACATTTGATTGCCATCTATTTAACAAAATATGCTCTGTCATTCAGTGTATTACTTGTCCAGTTATATCCTTAATATGCATTACGACATCTTTCCAATATTGTTCCAGTTTAGGGCATTTAAGCCAGCAATGAACATAATTTCCAATCCCTCCACATTGCTTCCAGCATAAAGGCTTTGCTGAAAGCGATATATAGGCTAATCTTTGAGGTGTCAAATACCAAAAGGTAGGTATCTTAAAAGTTTGTAGCTTTATTTCAATGTCCCCTGTCATTCAGTGGGGCTTACTCCGTACAAAGTGACTTTAGGATGGCAACCTAAATCTGACTGCCACCTCCAATTTATGTATTCATTTATTGTAACAAAAAGCCATCCGTCTATCAGGTCAGAGGAGATCAAAATGGATGCTAACCTGTATTTTCAAAGGGAGAGCGGTGTTTTTCAGCTTCTCTGCCCCAGGACCAGTGTTTCCTCTAAGCTGAGTTAGTGTGAGCTAGCTCAGAGTTTTTTAGCCTCCAGCTCACACATTTTTGTTTTAGCTCAGGAAGGCTGGCTTCAGAGCAAACTAATTTATGCAGTAGCCAAATCGCTCGCTCACAACTTTAATTCCAGTAACTCACAAACTAGAATTTTTGCTCACAAGACTCCACAGCTTAGAGGGAGCATTGCCCAGGACCCCTTGATCTTCTGGTCTTCTCAGACATTGGCTCATAACTTGATAATCTTTTAGTTAGTTCTCAGAAAAGGCATTCTGCTGTTGCTGCTTGTGGATTTCTTTCCCGGCAGCTATAAGCCCCCTGGCAGCCCCACACAGTGGTTTGAGTCTGTTCTCTCAAGCAAGCAGAATTCTGTGTGGAAGCTGAGCACAATCGACCTTCACTGTAATGCGGGGACAGACGGCTGTCAGCCACAAGCCCTCTGTTCTATAAAGGCCAAACAGAGACAGTATCGAAGGAGGTTGAAAAATCAATCGCTTTTAACGTTCCATTTGGTGGCCCAATTTCTTTTCTGCGTGATCTCTGATAGCAGTGCATTCAGGAATGGCAGCTTTACTTTTTTTGGGGGGGGGGGGACTTATTAAAAAAAAACAAATGTCAGCTTTGCAGTTGTGTGCGCACTAACCTGGGAATAGATCTCATTCATTTTAATGGCATTTAATTCCATGGCAGTGTGCATGCCTGACAGAACTTTGCTGCAGAGCGTTCCTGCAGAGGGTTTGCATTTGGTGATCCAATCCCCACTATTTAACTAAGCAGAGGATACATTATTTAAATGCGTATGCAGTGGGGAAAGTAACACGCTGCATTCCCCCCCCCATACACACACATACACACTCCAAGCCACAGCTATAAAAAAACCTTCTAACCTGGACCACAGCTTGAACGCAGTGAGATATACTTCTAAATAAAGCCGTCTAGAGGTCCGCATGGTCAAAGCAATGGTATTCCCAGTAGTCATGTATGGCTGCGAGAGTTGGACTATAAGGAAGGCCGAGCACCGAAGAATAGATTCTTTGGAACTATGGTGCTGGAGAAGACTCTTGAGAGTCCCTTGGACTGCAAAAAGATCAAATCAGTCAATCCTAAAAGAAATCAACCCTGACTGTTCCCTGGAAGGCCAGATAATGAAACTGAAGCTCAAATACTTTGGCCACCCAATGAGAAGGGAGCACTCACTGGAGAAGACCCTGATGCTGGGAAAGATTGAAGGTCAAAGAAGACGGGGACGGCAAAGGATGAGATGGTTAGACAGTGTCATCGATGCAACGAACATGAAATTGAGCCAACTTCAGAGGACAGCAGAAGACAGGAGGGCCTGGCGTGATGAGGTCCATGGGGTCGCGAAGAGTCGGACTCGACTGTGCGACTGAACAACAACAAGAGGCCTTACAAACATTATGAATAGCAGGAGTCTCCAACATGGTACCTGTCAACACCTTTTTCTGGCCGCCCACCAAGTGTTTCCAGGAAGTGGGCGGGGCCAGGTGGGGCTTCTGCCCAGCAAGGCTTCTGATTAACTGTTGGAGATTTGATTGGCTGGGCAGTTTCTTGGGGTTTTTAAAAATGTTGCTGTGGTGGCAGCTGCTGCCTCAGCACAAGAATATGAAATGTGTTACTGAAGTTAAGCTGTGGCGGTCATTTTGTGGCTGGCTCCACCTCCTGCAGCAGCCATTTTGTGGTGGCCATTTTGTTGCTACCCCGACCATGCCATATTAGAATTCCAAATGTGCCCGCAGGCTCAAAAAGGTTGGGAACAATGCTCCTTCTAAGCTGTGGAGTCTTATGAGCAAAAATGATACTTTGCGAGATACTGGCATTAAAGTTGTGAGCAAGCCATTTGGCTTTCCTCTGGAGCCATCCTTCCTGAGCAAAGGCAAAAACGTGTGAACCGGAGGCTAAAAAACTGTGAGCTAGCTCACACTAACTCAGCTTAGAGGGAACCCTGGTTGGGAACCACTGAAGGTATAGGATCAGGCAGCATAATAGCCAATTTGTTAGACTCAATTGAAAGGAAATAATAAATTAGCTCTCGAATTTTACATGAATGTTCTTTGTGCAGGCAGGAAGGATTTAGCCATAGCAAAATATCCAATTTAGCAGCTCCAGCTGAAAACCACAAAGGGAAGGGTGGTATTGGCAGGCCCCAGTGTTCGCACACCACTTGAACCCCATCCCCGGTTTTAGTGCTTGTGGAAACTTGAGCAACCAGATTGTTGAATAAAATTACTCATATTCCAATCCTACCTGTTACGTCAATTTTTGGGCACCAAGACTGAAGAAGGCACCACTTTTGTGCTGCGGTCTGGGTGTGCAGGTGGAAGCCTCGTAATGTTGCTGGGGAAGGAAATTGGCTTTGTGGAGGGGTGGGTAGAGACCCCCTCTCTCTTCTCCTCAGCCCAGGAGGTTTGCAGAGGTTGGGCCTGCCCCAGAACAGCCACTGGCTTTGCACTGAGGAGGGGGGCAGGACCAAAATGGAGGAAGGGGGGGATGCAGGTGAGGTGCAGAGAGATCTTGTGGGGGGGGGAAGAGGGCAGAGGTGCTGAGGGAGGAGACAGTGTGTGGAGTGCAGAGAAAAAAATAGGGGGAGCAACTGGAGAAGGGGTGCAGAAAAAGGAAACAGGCGTGTGCTACAAAGTAAAGGAGGTAGGGGATAGAATAAAAACGAAACGTGGCACCTCTTGAAATTTAAAACAAAAATGTGGAAGTGACGTTTGGAGAGCTTTCAGTTGTCCCTCCCCAAAGTTGGGTGGATAATGAGCTCTTGAAATGCAAGTTCAGCGCACAGAAAGGCCAGTGTCTTTGGACAGTGCCTGCCTCAGCTGGGCCGGCATTGCTGGAGGAGCCTCCGAAGACAAAAGGGAGGGGGGAGCATTGAGACACCTGGAGCCATGGGTTGCCTCCACAACACTCTCAGAGGCCTGTCCAGAGAGAGAGAAATGCCCCCATAGCTGCTGTGTCTTGGCATTTGGAAATCCAACAACAACATCTGTGACAAAAATAACGAAGAGTCAATAAAGATAGGTTGCAAAATCATTTACTGTAGTAATTCTGTAGAAAATTCTCTTCTGTTATCGCTCACACGCTCACGAATGCTGCACAATGTAAGCAATTTGTTTCACAATATTTGCTCTATCGGAGCATGTAGCAATCACAATTCTTATGAATTACTGCTTAATCAACTCTTGAAGGAAACATTCCTTGCTGACTCTCTAATAACAGAACCCAAGGTCTTCATTTTTGGTGTCTTGGTATTTGGCACATCATCCGGTGAGGGCAGGCTATCGGCACGCCAGTGAATCCTTTCCCTTGGGCTGGGTCTCTCTGGCTCTGTTCAGGCAATTTCTTCTCATTGGCCTTCCTCTCCTGGCTGTTCTTCCAGGTGTGCCGGGAGCAGAACCTCCTCCTGTTCCTGCAGGATAACGCTGCCTTCTCACCAACGGCCGCCCAGCCCTTCCAGCCGGAAGGAGCAGACCAGGTGGTAAGGGAAGGGCAGCAGGGGAGCTGTCTCAGCCAGGTTGGAGGGAGTGGGGAAGGGGGAGTCATTAATCTGTTGATCTGTGTGTGCAGCATTTCTGTCCCTGTCACGAATCTGGGTCTCTGTGCTACCGGTTATAACTGTGTTCTGTTTTCTAGGCCCAAGGGTGACAAATGGAGTGGCCTGCAGGCCTTAGAGTAGCCCCTAGCAAGATTACCTCCTATGGCCTCCATGGAGCAGAAGGAGCAAAATGGGGGGCGGGGTCACGGTGTCACACAACGCTGTAGGAATCCCCAAAATCTCTATGGTATAAGCCATAGAGCTTTGGGGAATTCCTAGAATGTCAGGTGACACCGTGAAGATAGTATCTGATAAACAGAGCTTTGATTCACAAAAGGCTTATAGCCTGAAACTCCTGTTGGTCTCTAAGGTGCTATTGGACTAAAGTCTAGCTACACAACTCCATGACATCACTCCTGGATATGTACCTGGAGATGATGCTGCACTGTCTCATGACACCTCTTTCTGGTGTGTGTCCCCCTCCCCCGGCAGCCCTAGTAGTCCTTTCCTGGGGCCTGGCTGCAAATGTACCCTCTGGGTCTATATGTCCCAGATTACCCCCCCCCCCCAAGTTTGGGATTGGGCCTGG